GGACGCAGCTCCCCAGTTCATACTGGAGTTCATCTCATTATGTATGTTCCTGCACAGTGGAAGTACTCAAGGACAGAGCAGAAATGCCATCTCAACACCGCAAAGTGCCTTTTTTGGTATTGTTTCAAGTATTTACCCTTTCAGTAAATAAAAACACTCTAACCTGCACAACAGCTGATACGGAATTAATCTTCTAGCTGCTGCTAGTGTGATTCATCATGGTTAAGAAAGTAAAATATATTTGGAAGCACAAAAGCAGCCATCTTGGGTTAGGCCAAAGACTTTGTGTCTTGTTTCCAAAGATGGCCATAAGCGAATGCCTGAGGGAGCAGTAAGAACAGAGTAGGCATATATGGTACTGTCTCCTAATGCTCTCCCAGCTAGCAGCTGTGTTTAGCTTGAGAGAGCTTTCTGCATTGAGTATAGCTCTGTGTGTTTGGTAACCCGCAGCTGAATTCTTGTACGATTTCCCCTAGAGGAAGTGTGAAAAAAGGATTTGTCAAATATGTCAAACACGTGCATGGTTTTCTTTGTTTTGGAAAGGGTCAACTCTCCTCCATTTAATATCTGTGTAGGATTTTGGTGTTCAGCCCTCATTGTGAATGCACACTCTAGTTTTTCTCCGTTTTAGCTTAAGAGATGAGCTGCATAAACAATACATTCACCTGCCTTCTGTCTCGTATGGAAATTTCCAATCTGTCCCTTGCGTTTCCAGAGTGCACAGCGCTGCTTCCTGTCACAGATCCAGCAGAACCGGCCGATGAATCTCAAACTTGCATTGTATTCAAATGCTTGGGGTCTTGAAGCCCCTACCCCCATCAAATTGTTTTATTGCTTCTAATATACAGGATACCAGATTTCTTTTTCCTTGCTGCCCTCATGCCTTTGCAAGCATTATTTTGTACATTCGTTATTCCCTGGCACGGAATACAAGTTCACGCCAGCTCACTTGATATGCATGCAGATGTGAATTTCAACCAGAAAAAGATCATCGCTCAGATGACAAATACATGTTTTAACTTTCTGAACATATTAGTCATAGAAACCTTCTACACAACTGCATCATATACTTCCACTGAAACGGTGTTATATGTCCTTTTAGGTTATGATCAATTTTAAGCCGAACCAGCCATGTTCTTTTGTTGTTTTGTTGTTGGGTTTTTTTGTTGTTTTGTTGTTGGGGTTTTTTTTTTTACTTTAATCTTATTTGTTACCTTCCCTTCCAAGTGAAAATGCAGGGGCTTTTTTAAGTAAACAAAACAGCAAACTCGGTAAATAGACAAGGGCATTGTGGAACATTGTGTCATGACTGTAAAGGCTTGCTGTGTCCGAGTAATGACTGTTTTACTGATGGATAATTGGATCTAGGTTGTATTGCCGTTGACTTTAGATATTTATTTTATTTTATTTTTTACTGATTTAATATAATCTCGAACTTGTAAACCTATGCTTGATAACTGCTGATTGAGAGACTCTTCTGACTGTGAGATTACGCATATGATTACTGTTAGTGTTTGAAGAAAACTTTAGGGTTGAACAACCTTTTCCTTCAAGTATCAAAACTGAAGTTTTACATAGTATTATATTTACTTATTTTCTGTAAAACAGTGGAAGTGCCTATGCATTCTTCTGCACTGAAATATGTAAGCAACACAATAACTGGAAAGTATTGGAAGGTGAGTATGGTCATTATAATAGTATAGTGTTCTGCAATTCATACAGCCATAGAATGTGCACTGCCCAGCTTTAAAGTCAATTAAATGGTCAATATAGGCCATATTGGGAGAAGAGATGTTCACTGTGTGGGACTGAGATACAGCACCCTTATTATGCTAAAATAGCTCTTTTGTGAGTGATATCAGTAGGACTGGGATTTCATCAAGTAAGACCGAATCACTGAAAGATAAAAAGATGATCTTGAAATCCCACTCTGATGCTGAGTCCCCATTTTGATGTAAGTCTATATTTCCTCATTAAAATAAAATGTAAAAAAAAAAAAAAAATAATCTAGCCACTTTCTCAAGGTATAAAAGTCATTTTTTTAATAAACCACTGTCAATGCTAGAACAAGCTTTGGGTGGACAAGCTAAGGAAAATGCCAAAAAGCAGCTTCTGGCAGACTGAAAGGGAAAGTGAATTCTTAAATCGGGGGCTATTCGTAGCTCATCTAAACTTAGAATATATTAGACTGAGTGTCTCTGAGTACATTACAAGTTCATCTCAATTTGACATAAGCTTTTTGAAAATGGCTTTAATATTAAGTAGATTCATGAATGCATAAACTTTAATGGATAAAACATGATCTTTCTGCTGAGGAGTTTCAACTGTAACTAAAAAATGGATGCATTTCATCTTATTATTTGCAAGTTGTGAATAAATCTGTCACAGGTAGCCTGAGCTGTTTGAAATAGTAAGAGTGACTTGTGAGACCAGTAAGCCTCTTCCATAGTCTGCCTTAAGTGGTCTTTGAGCTGTAAATAATAAAAACAGTGACAGTTAGAACCACACTCTGTTGGAAAGGCCTTTTCTAATTGAATTTTGAGAGCCTGGGCAAAGTAGATACACTGAACCAAGTATTTATAAAGAAATTAAATGAACTGAAACCAAAGTTTTAATGGAAGATAAAGTGCATTAAAATCTGATCAGCCAAAGCTTCAGGCGCAAAGAAGTGATCAACCCCACTTTTACTGTGTTATTAGAAACTGAACAGAAAATGTGAATTTTAAGATTGTGGATTCCTTCATTCTGAAGTTCTGGTTGACTGCCACTTTGAAGTAGAGAAAGTGCTTAGGAGCCCTTTATGGAACATAATTATCATTGTCATTCCCCTAACACCACTGGGAGCTTTGACTCTGATGGCATCCCTCTAGCAGGTTGCCTTCAAGCCGCAGGAGCCTCAGGAGACTTCATCTTGACCAGAGTAGTTAGGGCAGGGCAGACATTCCCAGCGGGACATCCTGGAGGCAGAAGTTAGGAAGGACAAGGTTGCCAGGAACCTGACAGAAACCAGAAAATGTTAGATGTGTGGTTTTGTGGTTTGGGTTTTTTTTGGTTTGGTTTTTGGTGTTTGTTTTTTTTTTATAAATTCTGCTTACTTTCAACAGAAATGTATGTAGATTGGCTAGCAGAATTGTTTCTGCTTTGGTAAGGTGTTGATTAGTTTTGTCTTACGGAAAATTTAAATGGCATTGCTTATGTTGTAAATGGCATAAACTTTCTGTGCTTGGGAACTTTATCTAAGGAGCAAATTCTCCCTTGAGAACTTTGTTGCTATTCTGTCCATTCTTAATCTTTCTCTGTTCCTGGATGTGTTTGTCTTCCAACTGGTTTGATATCAGAGATCTGATTAGAACAGTCATGCTCCAGTTCAAGCATCCTGGCTGGGCCTGTTGTGATGCATCCCATCACTTAGTTATTCCGCTTCTATCCTGTTCCTTTATATGTGCCACGTGGATGCCTACTGTGGAGAATGCAAGAAAACGTCAAAGCAACACAACAAAATATACTGTTCTCACCACAGAGAAAGAGTAGTGAGTCTAAATTCCGTGTAAAGTGAGGACCATGATTCCTACTGCTAATAATATTGACATTTTCCAGGACCACGTTAGCAGCTATGGCTTTCATTTCCCCTCATTTCTTATTGGTGCTGTGAGGGTTTCAAACAAGAAGTCAGTTTGTATGCTGCTGCTCTTGTTTTTTTTTTCCAGTCTCTCCAGAATTTCCATTCTTGCCTACCATTCTAGTCAATAAGCAGTGAACCCAATTCTAATGGCCTTTCAATTAATAATGAAGGTTATCAGTATGGGGTCTTTTGCTTCTTTTAAGATTTGTGGCCAGTTAAATTGTTCTCCTTTGGACGTGGCACAGTATAAATTGCAATTATCCTTGGCAACCATTATTTGTGTTGGTAAAATCCAAACATGACTGCTGAGCAATGGTCCAAGTAATAACAGCACAGTTCAGTTTTTGTCTTGGTTTTTTTTCTGGGATTCAATGCAGTTCTAAGTATCCAGTAGTTTTGAATTGTGAATCAAGATAAGCATGGTGAATTATAGAAATAAAATAGGATTAATCTGGTTTTAAAACTTTAATTTTTTAATTTGTTTGTTAATTCAATTTCATTTAGAAAAAAAAGTGTAAAGGTGTCCAGCCTTTTTCTGTAGTTTGTTTCTGGCCTCCCTCCTGTCGACAGTTTCTTTCCTAGCTAATGAAAGCAGACCAAATGTATTTTTTTTCCTTCTTTGTTTCCAGTGCGAAGGTGAATCAAACATGACTCACCACAAAAGTGTGGTGGATTCGAGGAAGGAAAAAATAGGGCTGAGTGAAAGATGGGTTTGGAAGTACATTTTCAGTCCAGCACAGAGGCAGCTCCTGGAATAACTGTCAGCGAAGCAGAGGAGAAGATGCGTGGGTGGGAGGAAGATTAGAGGCCCTCTGTGCCTGGAGCCTGGGACAGGCCATCAGTCATCATCCCTGTGACAGCCCTCGTTTTCAAGAGAACCCTTTCCTCCCCACTCTTTGCATTTCTATGAACCCCAGCATTTTTGGTGTGGGTTTTTTTGGTTTGGGTTTGGCTTTTTTGTTTTTTTTTAATTCACAAGCTTCCAGGGTAAGGGTACACTGGAAAGGCCTTAGAGGCAGGAGCTACAGAAATCTGACAGGAGTTACTTGATATTCATTTTCTGCCTTCCTCTCTGTTGCACCCTCTCAACACACAATATTACGGCAAAAACGATTTAATTTTCTCCTCAGTCAACTGAAACATATTCTTTCCTGTGATGCCGGCAATGGAATGTATTTTCCAAGCTTAATTAGCAAGTCAAACAATAACACAAATGCTTCTGCAGAATTTTGCTAAAGGTTCTCTATCCTCAGTTGAATAACAAAGGTCTTTGAGAGCATGTGCTTCGGTTTTCGTCATTTGCAGAGAGCATCCATTTAATTTTTTTTCTAGCTTTCACAAGCAAGCTGACTGATAGCTGGTTTGTTCTCTATTTCAGGTCGTGGAGACTAATTTGGTTGCTTTTGACTGTCACTGGATCATTATAAATGAGGTAACTGTCAAGTGAACATTGTTGTGAACCATGAATACTGTTTTCAGACTTACTGACAATATTCATGCTGCTCTTGACTTTGCCAACAGGAAGCAGTAGCTACGACAAAGTTCAGGCATGCTGGGGGAGTGGATGTTGCTTAATAAAAATAGAATGACAAATTCTCGGACTTTGCTGTTTTGTCTTGCCTATTTTAAACACAAGTCCTTGAAATGGAAAATAAGATGAAAAAAACCCTTTCCTTCTGAGTATCTCGAGATTTCACATTTGACTTGAGCAGACTGTTTTTAGAGGAGCTTTTCAAGGTCTTTTTTCTTATGTAATCTTTTGTCATGGAGTGCTCGTGTTTCATTTATATTTTAATGGTTTTTTTTTAATGATGAAAATAATAATAAAATCCCATCTTTCTAAAAAACAAGAATTCCCCTATAATTGTCATGGTTGATAGCCAAACCTATGGATATTAGTGGGAGGCTTTTTGGTGGGCTTCTCGATCAGGTCATATATGAATGTTCCTGAAGAGAAAAAAGAAATAAAATTAAATTGAGATCCTATTTTTAAACTGTGAAATAGGTTCTTCCGTGAATGCTTGTCAGCTAAAATATGACAAGTCAATATGTGAAGTAGCTTTGTATATGAAACATTGAACAATGCAGTTGTTCTTAGATTTGATGACATTCAGATTTTTCTTTTGTTTAATGAAAAGAAATTTAGGTCCAGAAATGCTGAATTCCCTGGGGAGATAACTATGCCCTAACGTGTAGATCACGAGACGCCTGTATATTCTCAGGATAAAAGATTGCTTGGAGATACTGCATGTAAATTCCAGGTCTACTCTCTGGGATTTACTGTGCACTTCTATTTTCATACTTCATTACTAGATTTTGATTATTACGGTGTGCTAATAGTGAGGTAATTTAATCCAAAGCATTTTTTTTCAAGGTTATAGTAAGGTATAACATTGCAGTGGGATTGTACTTTGGCCTACACATTTAAACCAGTGGATTTTTAGCTAATTTTCCCTGGAGAAAGTTATGCCTCAGAAAGTGCTGTGAACACAACCTAGGACCAGCAGAAATTATTGGTCTGGGATCTGCATTGCTGCTGACCCAGTAATATGTGTGTTTTCCAGCACTGAATGGGGCCTTGCTGGTTGAGAACCCAGCTTTAACTACAGGCAGTCATGTGAACAACATACATGTTTTCTTTTTCCTTTCAGATTAAACTAGAATTCACTTTTAGTGAGTGGAATCTTGAAGTAGAGTGTTCAACTCTACTCTTCGGAGTTAACACTTTTTTTTTTTTAAAAGAAACATTAACTAAATCTAAAGCAGTCCACCATTAACCTGTCTATCAATAGACTAGACAAGAAATTCTTAGGCAGAGTCCAGATGTTGGCTTGCTGTTCAAGTTAAAGACACTGCCACTGGTTTTTCATTTTAAATGTTATTTGAAAAGTCCAAAAGAAAGTACTTGCTTTTAGCTGTGTCAGCTTCTCCACCCTCAAAAAGCAAAATAAAACCGAGGTTCCATTCTGAGCGTACAGGCTTTCTCTTTGCTTTTTATTCAGAAATTAGTGTCTCTGTGGGAAAAAAAAAAAAATCTGCCTTCTGAGCATTGTTATTTGCACATCGCAGCAGATTAAACGGCAGAGCGATCGAAGTGATTACCACTCTAAACGGCCTTTTCCACTCCAAAACTCTTTCTCTGGGCTGTGGTCCCAATAGCTAGGAGAACTGAATGATGTATGAGGAGAAATGTACATTGTCCCTTCTTAGTTTTATATTTTTGTATGTGAAATAAGTAAAAGCCACAATTAAGTTCATTCTGACAAATTGTGCTGTAAACCATAGTCATTAAAATCTCTGGATCTCTTTGTCATTCAACGTGTTTAATAGTATCTCAGCTTAATCTGCTTCTGGACCTAAATCTGTATTCCCACTTAAGTAATTTACTTTCAAGCTCTGTTTGTTTCAAAATGCTAATAATCTCAATGTTTTGAGGACACTAAAATCAAATTAGCAATAAATAAGATTTCTAGATAATGTTATGGAAAGAATCATGGCTGGCCCTATTTTTTCTTATTGCTATGTTCAAATTCCAACAGGAATGTAAATATTTCCTGAATGCTGAATGTTGCATAACATTACTTGCTTATTGCAACATTTTACTCATTCAGTAAAAAGATCGCAATGTCTCCACTTCAGCCGTGCAAGATTTGGAAAGGCAGTGATTTATGGGCCCCTTACCGTGTGGTATATAAAATAGCTATCTTCACATCCAAGTCCATTCACTATGGTTGTCCATTAGCTGTTGATGACCACAGTACTTCCATATGACTGTGAAATGATCTGAGACCTCTGCCCGTTTTGTTGCTTACATAAATCTTTTGTGACATCTTAGGCAACTTAGACATCTGTGGGTTTGTGCCTGTATTAGCTAAATCAGACTGTCAACTAAGTAACAGTAACACTGCTTCTCTGGCCTCCTAATTTGAAATTCTAAGATGATCTATAATGGTGAAAATGCATTGTTTTGCAAAATCCACATATGATTCAAATAATTCCTTGCATTGAGATACCAAAATAAGCTGGAATTGTCTTTCCTTTTCCATCTCTGTGCCAAGTATAGTAATACAAAAGGAAATATTACCTTCAGTTTTGTGATCAGGAATCTGTTTAGGCTTTGTGAGGTAACATCTGTTATTTTAATTGCTTGCCTTAAATGCTGTAATGCCTGGAAAGAGTTCCTTAATTTTTATTGTCCCATTAGTTGCTATTTTATGTAATATAGCAAATTTGCTCCAAGACTGTGTATCATAATGGAAATGCACGTGTGGGAGGAGGGGGGTTGTTCCCATAAAATGAAAGGATTCATAACTTGCTAAAGCATAATATATTGTATTAGTCCTTTGCAAATAATACACATCTCATCTGATCAGTGCAGTCAGCTGAGGAAACATTCTCCAAATAAATGTTCCCATTTCTTCAGGGCCTTAAAGCAGATGGTACAATTCTTTATTTAAAATTTGTGGGAGTCATAGATTTGAATGTAGTCGTGATAAAAGATGCCTTAACAAAAAATGTAAGAATGTTTTTTTCTCTCTCTCCCTTTGTCTGTCTCTCCTTGCTTCTTTTCCTCTGCACAATAGTAAATATAAGTGAAAAAGCCCAGGATAGTGAAGTTATATTTCTTTTATTACTCTTAAATCATAAGTGCATAGTAAGCTTAGATTTTATTTAGTGGAACTGAAAAAGAGGCATTTGTATGATTTTCATAACTTTTCTTTCTTTTGCTCTTTTAAAATGAAAGAAATGTCCTTTTTTTGTTATAAATCAATGTCTCTCTCAAGCATTTTCCTATGTTAAAATATTCACAGTCATCTTACTATGCCCAAGGCTTCCATCAGTTCTCTATTACTATTGTTCACTCAAGGACAACCCAAAACACTTTCCACTGCCGACAGTTACCATACAAGAGGTGAAAACATTAATGGTACAGTACAAAGGATTGGTTGGATTTCCATTGCAATAATGTGCACAATTATGACCAGCTCTGGTAAAATTAAAATAGAACGGGTGCACAGAAAAGCTGATTTGTGTGAGAAGAGACTGAAAAGGTTGGCTTGATTAGCCTATGAAAACAAAGACTGAAAGAGGATATGCTCTCTGTTTATAAACACATACAGAGTGTGAATAAATGCAGCGTTGTCAGGGGCTAAAGGACAAGGTTGGCACAAGAACAAATGAGTTCCAATTGCCCATGAAGAAATTGAGGGCAAAAGTTAGTGGAAGGTTTCAATTACCAGAGATGTCAGAGTCTGGAAAAACTCCTTCTTAGAGGAGAGAAGGTAAAAAAAATCAAAAACAAAACAACCCAAACTATTTTAATGAACAGTTTACGGAAAAAGATCCAACAGGTTTACCCATCATAGCACAAGAGAGGACTGGGGGAGACCCCCAAGACTGTATTCAAAGGCTACTTTCAGATGAACGCATGTTTTTCCTAGGAGAGGGCTGGTCCTTGGCTGATGCATTCAGCTTGTTCCATTGTGTTTCAACCCAATGAACTCTGTGAATAAAAACATAGAGCATGACTACGTTTTAAACCTGAGTAGCAAGAGCAGGTCTTAAAACCACAGCTTAGTTCCAGGAGCTCACATAATTCTACATTTTAATATGGATAATTCATTAATAGTAGCAGTAGAGGTTCATTTGAACCCTTATATTTTCCAATGGGGGACGGCAGGTCAGGTGTGAAAAGCTACCCTCTTCGGTACAGTTTGGGGCTCAAGCTGCCAGCTCTTTTTTTCAGATATGTGTGAGGCAGTGGACAGACTGATTTAGCCCTGCTTTCTCAAAACTCTTGGATTTTTTTTCTCTGTGAAAGCTAAAAATTGAGTTCTCCTTGTCCTACCAGTTTTCTATTTTTCATCCTCCTCCCCAGAACCTAAGAAACCTAAGGGAGAGATAATGGAGCAAATGATTATGTAGTTCAAGATCTCTCTTTACTTGTCTTGGAGCTTCATCTAGCTATGCCTTCTCCTGAACCACTCCTCTATGGGAAGTGCTGAGAAATTCAGGGAGGACGTAGCACAAGTAGTCTATGGCATGGGCAGCAGCAGCCCAGGGGCTTCGAGGGGTTGTGCAGTGGCCATCCTTTCCCACTCTGTCTCCTGCCCAAGGTGCTGGCTTTTGGAGGAGGAAGAAAAACTCTCCTCTCTGAGTGTCATGAAGGATGTGATGAAGATATGGCATGCACTGGAAAAATAGGGCATGTCCAGTATATGATAAATACTGGAATCATCTTCTTGGCCCAATGTTAAAATCTCTCCATAAGAAAAGGTATTGCTGCCTTTGTTTGATGCCTATTAGAGGAGCATGTGAATACATTCTTTCCCTCCATGTCTCTCACTACCGGTGCAGTTGCTCTGTTGTGACTTAGTAAGTCTCTGCCTAGGTTGCTTATCTTGAAATAATGAGACAAAGCTGAAGGGCAACATATATTGGGTGTCCAGTATATAGTCTTGCTTCCCACTGGAGTCTCTGCCTGATATGTTGAGGTGACCTTCAGTTCCCTTTTCCTAATTCATCTGTAAAGAGCTATTCATTTAAAATAGCATTTCTTTCCTTATTTATTTGCCTACTCAGATGAAATGTACGTCTAATTTTATCCATGTTTCATTTGAAATAGAACAGCCTCCCCTTTATTCCAAGTTCAGACCAACAAAAGAAAGTTTTGGAACTACATATTGAACTTCTGATTTTTTTGAAAAGAATACACATAACCTAGCCTAAATTTATACAGGTGCCAACTCAGTTCAACTTGGCCAACTTTGTAATTTTTTTTTTGACATTTGATGCTTGTATAACAGATCATCTGCCATCCTTATATCATTATACTGTATCGTCCTTTGAAGTGCAAATGAAAATTGTTTCCTCTCATACAATAGTTGCTTTATATAGTTTTCTTAAGTCAGATCCAAAATTCAAGAATGAGAGATGATATTGGAGAGTCATTATATAAAAGGCTCGTCACTCAGTCAATGCCAAGTATTAGAAAAAATGACAAAGAAATATATAGCAAATGACTAAAGTTGAATTTGGGGTTTCATGGCATTGCTTTGTTGTTAACTTAAAATCTGAATTTATGATATGATCAGTGGAATTCACAGCATTTGAAATAGCTATCATTAATCTCTTGATGTGTATACCTCCTTGGCAACCATACAAAATTTTCTTTGGTGTTTGGATTCTGTTATTAGTTCCCAGGTGATGTATAAAAATATGAGGTAGTAACCTAAAGGTTCAAATGAGAACACTCTAATTAAAATGCACCCAAAAATGCTGAATACAGAAAAAGTAAATACTCTATTGAGGCAGAAAAGATAAATGTTTGAGCAGCTGAAAGTCAAAATCTCTTTTAAAGTATTATTTAGCGATATAACGTGGCCATGCAAGTATCAGTTTTTACATTATTAGAACAAGCTTAATAGTCCTGCTGTAACAGTTTGGGCACAGTGTATAATGAAACCGGGCAAACTTTTTATAAATCCTCTGAGAAAGGATATAGCTTAAAATCAAGACAAGAAGTTTCTTGAGCTCTCCTTTCTGATTATATTGGAAGTATTATAAAAAATATTACATGCGTTTTGCTAAAACAGCATTTTATTTTATTTTTTACCTTGCAGCTAGTGAAATGATACAGACTAAATGAAAAGATGGCATCTTAAGCTGAGAGAAACCATTATCTATGGTACATTAAGGATTAATCGACCAGAAATGCAAGATATTATACTGGACGCAGCTGATGCTGTGTGTTATTTTTGTTTGCAGAAAAATCTGTATTTCATAAGAACATTAATAACAGACGAATTAAAAAAATATGTCAATCTGTGAAGAAGAATAAAATACTTTAACTGTAGTCAAGAGAGTAGAAGTTAAAATTTACATGTCGTGTATTTTTCTTCCAAGTTTTAAAGGAAATAAGCAAATGCCAGTATGTCCAGAGAAGTTGCTTCAAAATAATTAATTTAAAGGATGTTAACTGAAGCTCCAAAAAAGCCAAAATTACTGGGATAATTGTCTTATCATTTAAAGAACTGCTTTTTCAAAAAGCTTGGCTTCCTTTTCGTAAGAAAGATTCTGTAATTTGAGTTCAAGTCTGTCTCCTGGTGTCTCCTCAGTTCCTGATTATGGGTATAGATCAGGAAGCTAGATGCAAAAAAAGATGATGGTGTTTAGTTAGAGGTATAACAGTGCAGATGCACTGTATTTTTAAAAAATTAAAAGCTATAAATACACAAATGAGAATCAGAAATTTTGAGTAGACTGTGGCTGTATGCAAGGGTATGTCAAATACTAATAGGAGCTCCTCAAGCACCGCCGCCCCCAGTAAGGGGGGATTATGCACAAATTTAAACATCTAGAAATTTTTGGGCATCAGCCTCTGTAATTAAGACAGATTATGAACAAACAGTTCAGCGTCATGAAAAATAGATTCTAATTAAAAAGACTGAGCAATTTTGTAGATTATTTCACCTGCTTTACAGAAAAATACAGACACAGAATTGCCTTGAAAGCTACCAGCTGACCCTGTTTGAATCGTCAGAAAAAAAGCCCATGTTTAACTAAAGTTCAAGTTCTTATGTGGAAGTTGGAGTCAGTTGCTGTTGCCTGTGAGCCTGTGTTCTTCTCGCTTCATGTTCCCCGAGGGCCTCATCATTCAACGGTGTAAAACACTGTGCTTCCGAACTGCAGGAACTTACACTGTGTAAAGAACTGTTTTTTCTGGTTTCCCTAACCTGCCTTAGAGTTAATGTTTTAAGCTTACTATTTCACATATTGATGTATTTACTTAGTCATTTTTCTCTTTAAAGTGTGTGTCTGTAGAGCTGAGTGTTCAGCTGTAAGCCTTAATAGGTACCCTATGGAGTAAAAAGTTGGTTTTAAATTAAGTCTTGCTATAAACCAGCACACACACCCCTAGAATGCTCTAATGCATTTTCTTTGCCCTTTTGGTAAATGATGTTTGCTGACTTGCACATTGTTCATAGGTTCTTGATATTCTGTTTCCAGGAAATGAACACTTAGGGCCTGAATAATTGTCTGTACCTTCACAGCTTCTAAGTAATGCTACACTTAGAAATACATCATGGTATGACTTCCTACTGATTTACACATTATCTGGCAAGGATGCTGTGAAACACTTTTAAGTAAAAGGTCAAAGGTAAAAGGGAGAGGAGAGAAAACCCAAAATGAAACAACTAAGCCCAATTACATCTACAAAGATTCAGTGAGGTTTGGGCACAGTTCATCTTAAACTTTTGCAATTATTGTAAGGGTGTTAGGTCAGTTGTTTTAATGAGCATTCATATGTTGTTTTTAAAGGCTATGGCAAAGCTTGGCAATAGTCATGTAGCAATCACATGTCTCTTGGTTCTCTCAGTTTATTTTTTGTTTATAAGCTGATGGTAAGATTTCTGTATTTTAACTTTTATGCATATTTTCTCCCTTGCCTTATCTTCCAGGAAATAAATGATGTGGATGTGCAGGAGCTGGTGAGAAGGTCAATTGGAAGGTTAACAATTATTCGGCAGACATTTCCAGTCCCCCAAAACATAAGTCAGCGCTGTTTCCGTGGCAACCACAGAATATCTTCATCACTGTGCGATCCAAAGGACCCTTTCTCCCAAAGCATGGAGGTAGTTCATGTGCCAATCTATTCCCACCTCGGAACTGTCTTTCTAGATAAGTTCAAGGTTTTTCCCCAGGGGCTTAGTGTAATTTAATTTATTTTTTTTTTCATGTCCTCTCTGATATGTTGTTTAATGGCTCATGGCATGACAAGAAAATACTTGGATGGGGGGTGTGAGTATGACTGATGAACAAGAACAACTCACTCCACAGCAATTGAGAAAAAAAAGTCTAAAAAATCCACCAGATCTCCAGGCAGCGGGGTAGTTGTTTTGTTGCCCTGCTAAATTTTATTTTTTATCATCTCGCCAAGAAGAATTTCCTCCCCATAGCCAATGTCTCCTGAGTTGCCATGCTTCTCTAAGCTTCAAATGTGTTGTGAATGGGAAAGCCTTCCTGGGGCCCACCCACATCACCTATTTCAAGTGTCTTGGTGTATGCACCTACATCTACCCCCATGTTCTAATGAGGCCTTATTTTCAGGTGGTTAATTCCAAATCCTAATTAAACTATAAGAGTCTTCCTTCCACGTTAAATCAGCAAACTGGATCATGGTCACTGTCCTCCTAACTTCACGTAGTTTTTCCAAGAGCAAGTCCTCTATCTCCCTCACATCTCTGGTTAGGCTTCATCATGACAAAGCTAAGGCAAATCAGGAGTGTGAAATTGGTTTAAGATGTCAATTTTACTTTTGGGGTTTTTTGCCTGGTCATTTATGAGGTTGTGGAAAGATGACTGCGTTGGCAGTGGTGCAGGAGGAGCATATCTGACTTAGCAGCAAAGAGCTGTCTCGTGATGCTGAAAGAAAGGAGTGAGAGAAAACAATGGGAGAGAAATAGGGAGGTGTTGAAGAGTGTCCTTGCTTAAAATGAAAATATGTAAGGGGAAAAGAAGTGTGGCTGGTCTTGCCCTGTTTCAGGTTAGCTGTAAGAGCCCTTACCTGAGTAATTTTTCACGGAGCAGCCAGTAAGCAACTATTGATGACATGAAAAACTTTGGCCGTAGCATGCTGCACAGTGATTCCATCAGAGTTCTTAAAATAAGCAGGGCTGTGTAAGGCCAATAGATGCATAAGATATCTCTATCTTTAGGCTCTTTAGGCTCTTTAGGAACTGCGAAAATTCTTTAGGTTGTGCTGTTCTGTTATGGCAGCGTGATCCTAGGGGGAACTTTGGTAGCCTATGGATAATGCATAAAAACTGAGGGTGTGATTATGTGCAGTCACTAGAGATTGCAAAGAGCAGTTTTCATGAGCAAATTTACTAACTACCGCAAGGCAGAAAACAGTAATCGTGTATTGATGGGAGTCTTCACATTTTGATGTATTTTTCTCTTCAACTTATCTTTCATTTCATTTTCACTTCAACAGTGAACAGACTCTGGGGAAGAAATTTCTAGAAATCAAAGTTTATTCTCTACGAATTGGCAAATTCCATTTAAAGTGTTAGATTGGACCTTATACCTTAACCTGTGCTTCTTGATCAACCTACAGCTTGGAGAGCTGTAATATTCCTATGGAAAGCTTTCATAACATTTTGGTTCAAACGAATGATGGAAGCTTGACTGGTTTAACTGTTCTGCACAGTTAAGTTGCTTTTTTCATGCCTTCCCTGAGATGGCTGCGCTTCATTAGTAGCTGAGACAACACTAAAAAAATGAAAGGAAGAACAACTCTGACACAGTTTCCCCTGTGTCTTCATACTATGCACAGACCCTTGAGTAGCTGTGAGGTTTGTTGGCTGTTACTTTCTCCCCAACAATATTATAAATTAACTTCTATTCCAGTGGGGAGTTGGAACAGTTTATAAATTGAAATTTCTATTGCTTTTTTTTTTTTTTTATGCCATTGAAGTGTGACTAATCAGGAATATTCTCTGGAAATTATAAGGGTGGAATTCTTGATTTATTTTTTCTGAATTACTCCCTCTAAAGTCTGTGTGAGTAATTAATATTTTTTCAACATCTCTATTACAACAGTGACAAATATTTTGGTGAAGATGTCTTATGTCTCTGGGTTGTCCTGTTTGAAACAACAACTTCAATAAATTTGTATCATTTTGGAGTCAGGAAGTTAAAAACTGGATTCACAGAAATATTTAGTATCATAGCCCTTTTGTCTAAAAACTCTGTGCAATAGCCTAGATATACATTAAAAAAAAAAAAAAGACTGTTAGTCGAGATAAATCACTTATACTTAAGCTGATTGCTAAATACCTTTCTTCTACTTTCGGGAGCAAAAAATCACATCTGAATTTTGAATTGCATCAATAGGATGCAGTTAGATGTTTGGTAATGCAGGTGTCCAGCCATTAGTCTGAGACTTGGAATAAATAAAGGATCAGTAATGGATACCAAGCAATGCATTGAATGTCCTAGTAAATTTACATGGGAAATGAATAAAAGTGTAAAGTGACTTTAAATTACAGCCCCACTCAGTGCACCGGGACAGTTACTAATTAAGCATACTTCTGGTAGTGACAGGGGAAGGGTGATTCTGAGAAGCAGAAAATTAATCATAGTGTCTTTATCATTGCTTTATCAGTGATTGATTACTGTAAATGTTAAGCTGAACTATTAAAGGAATAACAATGCTTAATAATTGCTGAACTCTGTACTCCTGAGCCCTGTTAATACTTGATGAAGGCCCAGCTATATTACTCTTAGATTAGTGAGTGCATCCTTCCTCATGAACTGTGACAATAGTCTTCTATTCCCATGATGATGTTGGGTTACAGAAGCTACCTTGAAAGCAATGTCACTTTGTTGGGAAATGATGACTTGGCATCTGTATCCCTTCATGTACCAATTTAGTCTCATTAGTGACCTTATTGTCACTGCTCTCTAGAGGTGTGTTGTGTTGTGTTTGGTTTTTTTTCCTTTGAGAAGGCTTGTGTAAAATAAACCTGCCTCACCGCATAGTAATTATTCCTTCCCTCCTCCCCCCAAAAATGTCCCTGTGGTGCTGACTTCTTTGGGGAAATACGGTTTTAGCTGAAATGCATTGAATTCTTTGTAGGTTTACAATACACAGACAAATCATCCAAGTTATTTTTAAAATGCTTGATTAATCTGAACCCAGATCCTCAATCCGTGTTTTAATCCTGTCATGCACAGTGATGCCTGGCCTGTGCATCTGCGGAAAGTAAATTAGTTCCTGGGTGAATGCTGAAATGGAAATATTCGTAGCCACTGGAGTCACAGGAGAAACTCGAGTAAGAATAAAGAATTGTCTTCCAGAAAGAGGGACTGAAGGATCACTGTTATTTAAAGAAAAAGGGAAATAAAGATCAGAAGTTCTGTGCATTTGTGGTACTAACAGCGTAGAGTTGTAAAGGCAATAGAGGCTCCCAGGAGTTTATCAGGAGGAAAAGCAGCAGACCATTAGATCTCCTTCAATAAAATGTGAAAGGCGAAATGCCCCAGGAAATTCTGGCAAGGTAAGGAGAAAGATGACCTCTTTCATGGATTCCAGGCAGGGAAGGAGCCGGTCACAAAACCTTCCTGTCAGAACTGTATAGAGCAGATTTCAGATGACACAGGCAAAGCCAGCATAAAGAAAATAAAAACATAAAAAATAGGTTGTATAGAAAGGAGTAATTAGGCAGGAAGATACTATTATTTTTTCTCTTTTTTTTTGCCCTATTTTTAAGGTGATGTGTAGATTTGCCAGTGTCTCAGATCTTCACAATTATTGTGCTTCCTTCACATATATCGCCTCCCAATAGCTGCAGGATTTCCCAGTCTTTGCATGTTTTTAAGAGGCAGAATAGGCACGTTCTCCACAAAGTTGACATACTTTCCTATTGTAAAGTTCCTTCTGTTAAGGTTTTGAGCAGACCATTTGTATGAAGAAATCCTTACACAGAGCAGTCAACATATTCCACAAATCTGGGAAACATCTTTTGGCTTGTCTGTGACTGATGGAGGAAAAAAACCCAACAACTTTGCCTCAGTTAGGAAATTGCTGCTGGCTAACTTGTTTTCAGGCTCTACGAATGCTCTACAGCCCCCTTAGTAGTGCAGCTGAGGAAACTGAGTTTCTCTCAATAACTTCAGACCCAATGGCTTCAAATGACCAACAGGTTATCTAAAAATAATATTCCCAAAGGTCCTTCATGTTTCTGAATATCATTTCACTTCCCAACAACCTCTCTTCAGGAAAGCTGAGGTTTCTCTTTATGATACTATTAGTAACTTAAACGTTCCTGCCATTTGAGGACAGAAATGACTGAAATACGGCTATATTGTAAATTACTTGTTTCAGAAGTGTTTATGAATTCCAAGCTTTTGGGGTTTTTATGTTGAATTGTATCTTTCACGTCTGACCTTGTACTGCATGCATTTTAAAGTACATATATAGAAATAGTACATGGGTAAGTGGAACTGGCACACAAGTCATTTCTTGAGTTCAACTGTTCTCTCTTTCATGCCAAACCTGAACTTTCCTCGCACCGTATGCACGTAGCTGTGCTCACAGTGAAGCATATACACATTTACTCAGGAAGAGTTTTGTCCTGCAAGAAATTAATAGCCATTGCCAAATATTCTGACAGGAAACACCATAAATTGCAGAATTGACTTGCAACTGCACGCTGAGAAAGATTTCATTGGGTCATATTTCAGTCCAGAAATTGCTTCAATCAGAATCAAAAATCAGGAACAAAAACCAGGATGAAATTATTTATTTTAAATTTTCAGTTTCTGTTTTTTTAAAAGAGCAAACAATCATGAATAGAATTTGATGGTGCCCAAATATCTGGTGACTGAAAAATTGAAAGCTGTAGACAACTGGTTAAAAATAAAAGAAAGTCTGTTTACGTTCACGAGTAGGGCTTTAAATCCTGCAAGTGGAGCTGTGCCAGTGATTGGGCTGCCTGTACTTCACATGTGTGTAGTTTGTTGCTAGAAATCACTTGTAGAGTGACAGCACCTAGTGCAGTTTTTATCAGAGCCAAAGATACGACTTTTTAACTCTTACAGTTTCTTCTTAATACCAAATAACTCATTTAATTACCAGAGGATTATGCTTGAGGCAAAACAAATGATAAATTCTGGCTGCTGGGAGGTGACCGCAAATAATAATGCTAACACTCCCCTTTTCGTGTCTTTACAGATTTCCAACCTGTATATATACGACACTGTCCTCCTGTTGGCGAATGCCTTTCATAAGAAGCTGGAGGACAGGAAGTGGCACAGCATGGCCAGCCTCACCTGCATCAGGAAGAACTCAAAACCCTGGCAAGGCGGACGATCCATGTTGGAAACCATCAAGAAGGTACCTTTTCCCTGTCTTTCCTCATCTTTGATTTCTAAAATACTTGCATCGGGCAGTATTTCTTTCCGAGGTGCGTACTATTCTTGCCTGTACCAGCAGCATCTTTACAAAGTAATAGTTTTGATGTAGAGTTTCTGAATGAAAATAGTCTTTAATTGGTTTGGGTTTTTTTCCATGTTACAGTGAGCCTATTTAAAATTAAGTCAATGAGTTTGTTTAATCAAATTACCAAACTAGTAGAATTTTTAAGTACAAATAATATCCTATTGAAAAAGTGTCATGGGTCAGGAGGTAAAGCAGATAAATTTACTCTTTTATTTGTAAAAGAACAAAAACAGTTGTACACTTGGGCAATGATCTGTTCCATTGCTATTGACCTTAATATAGTGAAATAGTGGAAATGAGGATGAGGAAGACCCTAACCCCCGTCTAGTCTATATCCTGCCATTGCAGAACTTTTCCCCCTAACAATCTCTGTAGTGCTTTAGTTAATGTTAAGCTCTCACTACTTTCCTGTGCTTATTATTTCATATGTTAATTATGCTCATGCCCAAGATGCTTTTCCTGTGTTCTTCAGACTTTAAAGATAATTTTTCTTAGTTATTCCCTTTCTTTATGATGTTTACGATCTCCGCTTACTTAGAGACAATTATCACAGTCTTCCGGGTCAGTATTTAGTCAAAATATGCACAGGTTGGTAGTTTACCCTTCTCTGTAAGTTATTCCATTCAGTCTTCTTATGTTACTGATGTCGTTCATAAAACTGCCTTCTCATTTGTCTGCACGTACTTCCTGGTAATGTGTGCTTACATTATAAGTGCTGGCAGTGCCTACATTGTAAATACAAAAAAACCCCAGGACAGTTAAAAAAAATTTAAAAAGGGTACATTATTTATGGCTTTCGTTAAAAAGGCATAAAAAAAAAATATCATTTTATTTCAAGAAGTTGCTGTTCTGCATTAGGTCTTTAACTACACCAGAAATTATGATGATGCAGGCAAAATGTAAGGCTTCTTTGAACACTGCTTAGTTTTTCCCCAGTCCTGGGTCAATCTGCATTAGATCCAAAATAACAGTTCAAGGCTTTCTTCGGTGGCTGTCCCCAGTTTCCATTCTAATAGTTTGAAGTCATGAGACTGCAAGAATAATCCAGGACACATTTCTTATTTCAGAGGCAGGATATGGCTTTTAGGGACTCTAAACTGCATTGCTCTTAACTTATCGAAGCAATTCCAAATTCACATTTGGCAGACCCGGGTATTTTAACCTACGTTTCAGGTTCTGGAGCTTTTCTTCTCAAATTGCATTTTGTAAATACTATTTCATGCTTTTTCATTAATAAACTAAAAGCTATTTCTACTTTCTCAAATCCAAATAGGATGCCTGAGCTGGAAAAGTCAAAATACCCACTTCCACTTTAGGATCAGAAATTACTGAGCTGGAGTTTCAGGCAAAGCCTGGTAGCCCCACTAGCGTCTCTAAATTTAGAAGTACTCCTCCATGGAAAGGGCTGCTGACTGTTTTGCATTACGATTATTTGCTTGCTTGTGTTACTTGTAGATGTCAGACTGATCCTGTCCTCCTACATAAACATCCTTTATGCTGTTTCTTACCACCATCTCATCTCTTTGCATCTCAAACAGACCTTATTCCATTCTTTGCCACATTGTCCTAGCTATACGGTTTATCATGTTCCAATTCTCACCTCCTAAAATGATGTGATTAATAAAACAAATTCCTTCTGTGACCTTTCACAGAAGAGCTGCACTGTGTTGAAGATCAGTTTATGTAGCTCTTAACCCTGAAACATGAAGAGAAATGGCCAGGAGAAATATGAAAGCATTCAAGAAGGCAGGAGTAAGTGGAAATTCCAGGGTTGTGGTTAGTTTGCTAAAAAATGAATCAAAACCCAAGGAAATTCCTGACACGTGCAGTTAACCAGGCTTGACTCCTGTTGCTTTTGGGTTTCTCTGCTATTTGAATGAGATGGCTTTGAGAAGAAGCAATTTTATTGGTATAAATTGAATAATCCAAATACTCCTTATACTGCATTGTGCTGACAGAGATGAATTTCTAGAAGTAACATGCTAAAATTGGAAGTCAAAATTTAATTGAAAATGAAATACAGAAATTTCCTCTCTGTGTGTATGTCTGTACCATTTCAATCCCTAGGCAGAGGAAAGCTAAAGATTGCAGCTGAGAGATGGAATTGTATAAGAAAGAGGAATTCTGCCTTAGTTTTGTAGTCTCCTTTCCCTTTTGTTTCACTAAAGCACTTATGTAGAAGAACTTTAGGATCACAGCTGTGCACTTTTGAAATTAAAATTTGAAATTGATAAATGTCTGATGAGGTACCAGGAAAAAAAGCATAAAATTAAAAAGTAATGCAAGGAAGGATAAACACACAATCTCTCTTCTTGAGAATTCTTCCATTTTCCATCTTCTTTTTTTTTTTTCTTTAAATATCTTTTCTCTCCTGTTGTCTTGGAACATCCGCTAAAACCAACTGGAATAAGAAGTTTTTCTCAAAAACATATTGGTTTTCCTTAATTCTGAAAGAAAACAGGAAAAAGCTACCATGTAGTATTTAAGTAGTTTCTGAATAAAAGGTTCTGCATTTTCATTTTGAAATCACCACTGTTTTGAAGATATAGTGTATAATGGAGTATCAACAGAAGATATTGTTATAGTTCAGAGTGAAGATACGTTCTGAGATTTCTTAAGTGCTCCTGGAAAAAGAACTTCCACCCTCTGCACAACTTTAACTCTACCTTCATAATGACCTGTATCGCAGAGCTAGAATCACTGTCTTGTCCCAGATTGTTCCTTACCTCAGTGTAGTTTTCAGTGGGCGTCATGTCGTAGCCAGGTATGGTGGTGGTGGGGAAAAGAATTAAGGAAGAGATGCCTAACCTCCAGCCTGCCTACCTTAGAAAAGGATTTGCAACTCAAGTAGCTGTTGTCCTAGCAGCAGCAAAGTGGAGGTCATGTTGCCATCTGCTGCTGTGTACAACTGAACTCTTGCTGCTAAAAAAGCAGCAAAAAATAAAGGAAGCTTTTCTAGAAGAAAATCTATCTTCTAGGATCAGAGATCCAGAAACAGCAATATCTGGCAGTGTTTTAGCTTCAGAGGGAACCTCTCTTTGATTTCTAGAGGGGAAAATAAGAAAAGAGGGGAAATCTCTATAAGCTACGCACTGAAGAAGGTAAGAGAAACGGATGCTGGTGTTCTAGCTGCAGCAGCACCTGTTAAAAATAGGCGGACTCTGGTGGTAAACAAACTAACTTCTTTATGATTAATAAGCTAATATGGAAGAGCAGGGAATGAGAGCGAAATAGAGTTTCAAATGGTTCTTGAAATGGTAATATAGCTGTCTGAATCATTTCCTATTGTAATTTGTTACTTTTCAATGTTGAACATTTGATTCCTGCGTCGCTATTACTACAAACAACTCCAAAAGCTGTTTTTTTTCTGGGTGAATTCAGCTGATTGGACAAGGCCTAAAAAAACATGTTAAGGCCACTAGAATTATTAAAATCTAATATCTGTTTCTACCCGTTCTGGAACTGAATAAATAGTTAAATTCATTAGGAAATACAATCCTTCTAATGAATTTGGCCAGCTCTAGCAATTAGTTCTAAATTCACTTCTGTAATAGGAACTACCCCCCAAACACATGCTTACTTGTTTATTTCTCAGTAAAGCTATTTCACAGTGAAAGAAATAAGTATTACTAGAAAATAATTCTACTGTTGGAAAAATTAATCTTCCCAAATAGCCTGAGAATAAATATAAGTAGGATTATATGGAGGATCAACTGAGGAAAATGACATCAAGTTACTGCATATGTCTTCTCTCACACTTACCTGATCTCTTCCCAGTCACATTTGTTTAGCTCACTTAGAAATAGCAAATTTTTAGTGCTAGCAGCAACATAGAGCCTATTCCTTTGTGGAAAATGAGCTGTACCTCATGCTGTTTCATGAATCATGGGTGGAATTGTCAACTAGTTCTGGTCTCAGAAATATCAGTGGTGTTCAGTGGTGATGTGCAAGAAAGATGCCGAATTGTTTTCCAGGTAGTAGATTGGACTCTCTTTGCTAGCAGATAAAAATGTTTTCGATATCAGATTTTTTTCGAGAATAAAATATGAAACTCTTATTTGATGCTTATAGCATTTTCTTCTGCCTGTAACCACAGTTTTTTAATCATAGAATACCAGGTGGGAAGGGACCTCAAGAATCATCTGGTCCAACCTTTCTTGGCAAAAGCACAGTCTAGACAAGATGGCCCAGCACTCTGACCAGCTGAATCTTAAAAGCGGCCGATGATGGGGAATCCACCAGTTCCATGGGGAGGTTATTCCAATAGCTGATTGTTCTCATTGTGAAAAAAATTCCCCCTTGTTTCCAACCGGAATCTCCCCAGGAGTAACTTGTATCCATCACCCCTCATCTTTTCCATGTGACTCCTTGTAAAAAGGGAGTCTCCATCTTTGTAGCCTCCCTTGAAATACTGGAACGTGGTGATAAGGTCTCCCCTAAGCCTTCTGTTCTCAAGGCTGAGCTAACTCAGTTCTCTCAGGCTTTCCTCATATGGAGGCTTCCCAGTCCTTTGATCATCTTGGTGACCCTTTTCCTTAATTCCTTTTCCATAATTGCAAAATAGCTAGTGTCTGACCTACCCATATTTTGAAAAAACAAAAAAAAAAAAGGGGGTGTTTGAAATGGAACTGTGAGAGCAAGTACAATATTTTCTAACTGATGATTGGCAAGCTGACATTCCCAAGTGAGGTCCTGACTGCTAGGTAAATAGTGCTTTCTTCAGGGACTTACAGTATAATAGTGCCTAAGCATATATAAACTGTAGTTTGCCTTGCCAGTCTAGACGGGACTCAAGTAGGCTTTAACTATATTGCCAAGCTTTATAACAGCTCTGCAAAGCCCAGAGCAGTGATCAGAAACATAAGTAAAACATTTTTGTCGTAACAACTGACATTTCACTCCACTTTTAAACGTGTCAGGAAATTGCATGGTTGCGGCTCAACCTTAGAGGAATTTGAGAGAGTAGATAATAAATGTGTCTTCACTTTTCCCCAAATAGCATTGTTTCTGTAAGTTAAATGGAATGAAAAATTTCTTTGACTCTTACCCCATTATCATAATTAATGCTAAAATAACTCGGAAAAATCTCATCAGGAAGTCACTGGATCAGTAGCTGTCATACAGATGGCCATTTCCTCTGTGATCTCCTTCCACTGTGCATTAGCAGAGGGATAGAACACATGACATAAATCAAGTAAGTGTTTTAGAGGGATCCACACTGTGAAAGATATGCAGAAAAATTGGAGCAATGTCCTGAAACTCTTCCTGGTAATACACTGTGCCACTCCATCACCCCTAAGCAATACAACAGGCTCATGTAAGCCTCGTGAAAAGGCTGTGTGGGACAATGAGGACTAGTAGAATTAAAGAATCATTATGGCTGGAAAAGACCTTTCAGATCATCAAGTCCAACTGTTATCTAACTCTGCTGGGCCCACTTCTAAACCCTGTCCCTGACGGCTTTTAAATACATCCAAGGATGGTGATTCAACCACTTCCCTGGGCAGCCTGTTCCAGTCTTTGATAACCCTTTCAGTGTAGAAGTTTTTCCTAATGTCTAACCTAAACCTCCCCTGGTGCAACTTAATGCTGTTTCCTCTTGTCCTAGTGGTTGTAACTTGTGAGAAGAGATCAACCCCCACCTCTCTACAACCTCCTTTCAGGTAGTTGAAGAGAGCAAGGTCTCCCCTCAACCTCCTTTTCTTCAGACTAAACCACCCCAAGTCCCTCAGCTGCTCCCCATAAGACTTATTCTCAAGACCCCTCACCAGCTTTGTTACCCTTCTCTGGACCCTCTGTAGAGAGCAGTAACAGCATTGTCCAGCCTGCAGGGTCCAGCAAGGTAGGTCCCAGGTGGAGAAGAGGCATCAGGACCTCTAAGAAGTTTCCAGTCAGTTTTAGTATTGTCGTTGGTATTACATGGGCGGTTCTTCACAGTTTTGTCTTTCTGCCTCTGCCCTTTCCAAGCCAGGAGCATTCCCATCTAATCTGAGCTCTTATTACACTATTTGCAGATGTACACAGTCTGGGAAAGAAAACTCTAATCAAAGACACTCTCTTACATGAGAAATTTTCAAAGCATGCTAAAATTGCCAAAATAGATGAATGAAAAAAATTGTTGTTATGGTTACTGCTGGATTTCAGCCAAATAAAAATAACTAACAGACTTACAGTTTGTATCTTGCCCCAACAGTTGTAGCCATTTAAAAATCAAGGTAAATAAATTTACACAATAGTTTTAGATAAAGATTCGGTTCCAAAATATGGTAGGTAAGTCTGTTAACCTGTACTATATGTTAGGGGCCGTGTTTTTCCAAAGAATCCTGTGTTTTCTTAAAAAGTGGATTTCATTGCTTAAAATGAATTTGAAGTTTTTTAAAAAAACTTCCTCGATTATTTTTTTTTAAATCATATTTGCTCAAATAAGGACAAAGGTTATAAAAATTGTTTTCCAAGTCAACTAAAATTTTAAATTGCTGTCTCAAGTCTCAAAGATTCATTTACATTTTAGACATGATTCTATCTTCAAGTCCTCAAAATTACTGGGAGCTCTCTCAATCTGAAAAATAAAGTAAATTTAATTTTCTATATTCAAAGTTCCCAATTTAAGACTACTTTTTCCCAAAGTAAGAAAAAAGGAAAACACTTTCTGCTGTTCAAAGCATCTGTGTTAACGGAGTTGGTTTTTTGTTGAATATTTACTTTCTTTTCTAATTTTGTTTCAGAGTTTTCCCTTCCTTTTTCCAGACTTTTCTTGTGGCTCACTTGAAATCATGGTGCAGCTCAGGTGGTCTATAACAGTTTAATTAATTTTCACACTTTACCTACCTCAGACCCACAGGTTTAATTCACACTGTGGATGGGAAAGTTTTAGGAAGTAATATAGGAAATGTGAAGTATAATGCAATAAAAGCGTTATATCATAAGGGGTCAGAGTGGTGCAGGACTGGAAAGAAGTGCATGCTGTCACGTAGGGCAAGTCAGGCAGACGAAGGCTTTCAGGGGTCAGATGGGGATCCCAACCCTTGTGAATCTGTAATGCTTTGCAGGCATTTCTAGATCACATGTACCATGAAATTCTGGCTTAAATTAATCAAAAAGCCAGTTGAGACCATGTGAGGAACAAAAGGTATGTAGAACAGGTTTTTATTTTTGGTTCGTCAATAGGATGTAGTCATATTTCAGTTAGCAGAATAGGTTTATATTTGTGAAACTCAGTTATTTACCTGAGGATGTGTTCAAATGCTTTTGCAGGTAAACACAAGCTTGTTCTGTCTTCACTCTGAACCAGCCAGAGGTGTGCTAACCCCAGTCTAAAAACCATGAAGGTGTGACTATTACAGGACTATGCTCAAGCTAATAAGTAACCTTAGTGTCATGCTAACCATAGTGACATGCATCAAAATTGCCTGGCTGGCTCTCACTGAGGTGAAAGTCTTCATGGAAAAGACTGTGCAGATTTACCCTTTATCAGGATGTTGTTTTTTCCTTTTGTTTAAATTCTATTTTTATTGTAGTATCTCATCCAAAAAGTAAATATTTAGAAAATGTTAAAATATATATACGCACACAAAGTATTACCTTGTTTTTAACCGAAAATGGCACTTCATGATATATTTGTGTATTACTCCTTGACAATACTAGTCTCTAGTAAGTTTTAAAGGTATTATCCCAATGATCCACTTCCTTATTTTTATTGTAATCTTAGTAATGTTTTATAAAAGGATGACAACATTTTGTTAGTTCATACTAATCTGCATTGGAGATGCAAATTTTATACTCCTTCCCGGATTTTCTGTAAACTGAAGATGTGAGAATAGAGCTTTTAAAATCATGATTCAGCAGGGCTCACCTGCTTAGCTAGGTAGTTTATATTGCAACAGTTTATTTTCCATTTTTTTCAGTTCAAATAATAAAGCTCTTAACTGAAAGAGCTATCACAACTGCAAAACTCCTACCTTATGTTTTGAAGAAAAGCTATGCATTTCATAAGGTTTTACACCAGAGGCAGATTCTTTTCTTGTACATATTTAAAATATTGTTCAAGTTTTTTTGAGGAAGCGGGTTAAACATTAATTTTTTCTGAATCTGAGAACTGAAGAAATTTTTTTTAAGGCTAAAGGTTTTCATTGTAGGCATTTCATGTGGCTCTGTTGCTTTTACAGTTCAGGTCATCACAGTGCTTATACAAAGATGAAATGTGTGTCATGTTGAATTAACCCTGGAATATATTTTGGGTATTGCTGTGGCATGTATAGCCCTTTCAACTCTGATTCTTTACAGTAAATATTCACTGTTTCATGTTAGTATTTTAACCCTTTCTGACAAAAAAAAAAAAAAAACAACCAAAAAAGCAAAAGCTAGCTTGGAAATATGCTGCATTGTTGCTTATCACATGCATTGTCAGTAGTAGAGATGTGGAGGAAAACAGAAAAATCACTTTATTCAGCTAGACAAGCCCCTATTCATTTGTGCAAATCGCTTATGCTGGGCTCAAAAAGCACCCAACTTGATCCAAAACTGAACCTGATCTTATGTGGAAATCTCTTTTCGGTGAGAAACATTTGGGGGAAAAAAAAGCAAAAATAAACAAAACTAGGTTTTGTGCAATTTCTTTTATATATTTGTCTTTAGATTTGCTTCCGCTAAAATTATTCACAAAACTTCTTTTTTTTTTTTTTTGGAACTAGAGTGTCTATACATATACGCTCATGGGTCAAAGAACAAAAATTGGAGTGCAAATACACTAAGAGTAAGACTATTGCTTATATTGCATCTGCTTAGCATTGCTGAGTTTGATTCTTCTGTGAAGAGCTTAAATGATGCAGGAACAATTTAGGTTTCAGAATTTTTAGGGAACTGTGGTCTCTGGAACACTGTCCTAATTCTGGCAGTTGTGTTTGTATTCTGCATGGTTAGTGCACAGATGCCCTGGAGAAACAAAAGGTTATTAATATTGGCTACTTCTGAGTTTTCACTCTGTTCCTTTTTTCTTTTTTCTTTTTTTTTCTTTTTCCCAATAGGGTGGAGTGAATGGCTTGACTGGAGAACTGGAGTTTGCAGAAAATGGGGGGAATCCCAATGTGCATTTTGAAATTTTGGGGACAAATTATGGAGAAGATCTTGGCAGAGGCATCCGCAAGGTGAGGCTACATTTATTCAAACAAGAGACTATTTTTACTCATTTTTTTAATACCTTTCCTATGTTCCGTGTTAATAGAAATGTGTTTGATGGCAGATAATGTGGTGTTGTGTATCACTGAGAGGCTAAGAAACAGGAGTGAAGTCTTGACCTTCTAGATACCCATCTATTGTATTATTGCAAAGAGGCCGTACAGTAGGTCATGTTGATTGAGGTGTTGTTTGTAATATGGAACGTGTTAAGCTGCTGGTTGACTGTCCCAAAAGACCAATGGAAGCTGTTGTTTTGTAACCCTTGCAACCCATTTCCAAAATAGCAAATTTTACACTGAATTATGTTTAGAGCACCCAAATCGACACTTGATACTTATGGTCAAAGTGGGATGCTTCAACTCTTAGATGATTAAAATTCATAGTTACAGAAAGAGAAAATCTGTTGTAACATCGACAAAATTTCGGTAATCTCTTGTCTTCATGAAATAAGTACACAATATTTTAGTAGAAATTAACTTCTACAGAGTAAGCGTAGAAGTAAGTGGTGGAAGCAGGTCTATACTTTCAATGCCTACCCTTCACTTTGGACAACTGCCCATCTAGGACAGCAAAAGTAGAAAAAATCGTGTGTTAGCTCTTAGGAAAATAAAAGACTAATAGGCTCTTCCAGGAACAACACTCCTTCAAAGACAGACCTCCTGAAAGATAATACCAAGATCTTTTCATTTAGTGTATCAGATAACACTGGTTTTTATATGCAAGAAACCTGAAGTGATTGAAAGCAAATGACGGAGAAAGTTATCTTAATATAGGTAAACTGGTTCCATGTGTCAGTGTCACTATATGATGAAGTACATCATTTTTCTGCATACCTTCTGCAGGAATAGATAAGTGCTCTGAAAGAAGGGAGAGAGAAATAAGAAGTTAAAAGTGGCTCTAAACTCCCGACGTATCCTTTGCTATTCATTGGAATTGTTATTCTGTTCCTGCTGTTTCATCTGTTGTCAATACTTTAATGTACACACGTGCCTATAGCTATGTCACCTTGAGCAGAGATCCTGACAGATGCTTTGGAAATTAAATGGAACTGGATCTTGATATTTAGAGATGCACTTTGCAAAGTCTTTAGGCGACCAGAATGTTGGATGAGTCCTTATTCCCTCACCTATAAATTCAGTCTGTTTCAACATATTTTGACTTGATTTATTTTCCATGCTATGCATCGAGGAGCTATTTATTCTTTAGAGACCCCAGGTAGTCCTTCCTAAGACAAATCTGTATCTCTTCATTTAATTTAATTGGTTGACTTTGGCTGTTTTTTGTCTTCAGGCCTGTCTGGGTGAATGCCTGAGTGAAGCACTAAATTGTGTTCTTCCATTTCACAAAAAGATAGGAGAGAGAGAGAGAGACCCACAGAAAGGTCTTGGAAATAAAGAAGAACGAAAAGGCTTCCTACTCTTTCTAACTATTTTCTGATGGTATAATTCAGATTTATATTGCAAATTTAAACTATGGTACAGCTGGCTTTTAAAGAAGAGATTAATGACCATAGGCACACATAAGCTGTGCAAAACATGAGATAGTACGATCAGGCGTTTTGAATTTTCCTTGTTTACCCTTTATCATAGTTCAAGGACAAAGAGACATTCACTGTTTTTGAAAGGAAATAGATTTGAAGTTGGTCAAAGGGAATAGAGTTTTGCACAGAATATAATTAGACCGTGAAACTCGGTGTCACAAGATCCTGTTCAGGAGAAAAGCAAAGATAAAAAGTAAGATGCTGAAAATATGTATTTTTTTACATTTGCTGAGATGAGCGTTTAAAATTAAATGTAGAGATTATAAGAAAATTTTCCAGTTGAAGGTTGCACTATAAATGTCTGTCCTTAGAATTTTGTTAAACGCTGCAGCTGGTTAAAAAGAAGAAAGTGTCCAGAGCAGAACAGATTTAATCTGTTCCAATTTTTTTTTTCTAAACAGCATTCAGTGATCCAGAGAAAGCTTTAGAAAGAGTCCTGGTGTAGAGAAATGAATTTTCTTTAGAATGAAATTTCTGTATATATTGTGAGAATGTGATAATTGTTCCTGAGTCTTTAAAAAAAAAATTAAGAATAATTCCAATTATTGGTTTTGTTTTGTTTTGTTTTTACACTAAATTGAAAAGTAAAAGGATTTTAAATAAATATCGTATTTATAGTCAATGTCCCAAAGTTAAAAAATACAAGCTGGGGATCCAAAAATCTTTTACATCAGAGCTAGAGAAGAAACTTTTGGAGGGGAAAATGACATATGTTGGTTTTACTTTTTTGACAAAAATTCACATATTTTTGTATTTGATTAGGTTTTACTTTACAGTGTATGAGCCACTAGTGTTGGAAGCAAATCACAATAATTACAGGAGTCAGATATATTTTTGTTAGCTACGCTAATTAAAGTGCACTTCAGATTTTCATGTATTTAGTGGTCTGACTATAGAACTACCTAACCATTTTTATTTCTCAACTCTAGTGGAAGCAGCTGCAATTAGTAGACTGACTGAAATTTCAAAAGAAACGCATCTTCCCTAATTAACGTGTTTCCAAGTACTTTTATAGTAGATAATGAAGGGTGAGATCATGACAAAATGCCCATTGAAGTCGTTGGAACCAGAAGTTCACACCAAGTCAAGTGTGTAAAGAATTTATTTTTTTTTTCTCCTGAGGAACAACCAATTGATTTTAATTAAAGCAAGTAAAATTTTAAAACGCACTCAAATTTCTCAAGAGTCCAAATTCAGCTTGAAATAAGTTCTGTTTGGATTCCAGAGTAATTTGGTTATTTCTGAAAAGTTCGCTTATATTCATATTCCTAGGACTCAAAAAAGCAAACAATTTGGGAAACCCAAGAATTTATCTTTGTTTTTGTTGGCCAAATTGGGCCATGTACCTAGCAGAAACGATCTGCAAGTTCACTCCTTCAATTTTCGTGGGCTACTGTCATACTTGGAAGCAGTGGGAGCATTCCTGTGGAAGGTCATTGTGTTGGGGTCCTTCATCTAGTGACGACTTAGAAAATTCAGGAGTGGGACTTGCCTGAAACAAAAATTTTGTACTGTTTTGTCTGTAAATGCCATCCATCACCTTGCCAACCATGGATCGTTTAGGCTATAAGTGTTGCCAGAGTGACGTATTTGGAGCAAGACAGTCAGATTGCTGCCAGATACTGATTTTATTGACACCGGTGGTGTTACCATCCCAGAGGAACTGCAGAAAAACTCTTGCTTTTACACATCATTCTGTGTCTTGCATTTGTGCAGATATAGTTATATTCAGTGGGAGACATGGGTGTATTTCTGACATTTCTCTGTTGGCATTTGTCTGTTGGTATTTGACATTTGAGTATGTATTCTTTGACATTTAAATTTCACTGCAATACTTTTATCTATACCGTTGAAATAAAAGCTGCCATTCCTGTGAATAACCATCCAACAAACAAATGAACAAAAGGGATTTGATGGCTCAGAGGCGTACTGTTATATCTTAGTGGTGTGGAAAACAGCACTGCAGAAATGAAGTGGTTTTCATGTTTCTTCCAGTGCTCCTTGTAGTTCATAATGGGCTTGTCCTCAAAGGCTCTGTGCTACACCTTTTGAAGTTTAGTGTACTTTCTTCCTGTTACCACACTGCTTTTCTCACCACGTGTCGACGTTTGGAGATCGTGGTGCATTTTGCTCTGCCTCCCTATCACTGTTAGCATACACCTTCCTCTTGTGCGTTTCTCTTCTCTTCTGAAGATGGTTTCTGTCCTTTCCTTCCAGCCCGGGAATGAGCTAGCACACCAGGCTCTTGCATCTCTTCCTCTCTGCACCAGGATGTCCATGTCAAGGCTTTCTATGCATTTAGGACACCTAGGGATGCCTTGGAGCAAGGATAGATCCATGGGCATGCAGGAAGACAGACACCTTGGGTGGGGCACCTGGGTAACCCAGCGTGCTTCCAGCCCTCCTCATTTGTCCAGTTAAGATTGTAGGGCTCTGTCCTAAATGATTTTGATTTGATGACCTTAAGGAGGAAATGCTATTTGTTTTAATCTGAGGGATACCTGTAGCGCAAAGCATTACATGTGAATGCGACCAAAGACCTTTGGCCATAATGCCTGACCAATGTGTTGTTCCTCTCTCCTTCTGCCAGTGCAAATGGCAGGACCTTCCCTGTGGATTTAATGCATGCAGGTTTTTATTTCACAGATTATTAAGGCTTACGCGGAGCATTCTATAGTTGTGTTATTTGTTCAGAGATGGGAAAATTGTATCGCATTTTTTGTTTTCATTCTTGTAAAATAATTGCTACTTCCACTTCATCTGAGAACAGTTGTTGATTACAACAGTGGCATTGCTTTGTGTTATCCCATATATAATTTTTTCTTACATTTGTATCATGATGCAATGTATATTTTGATCTCAGGGAAATTGCTGTCTCTTCTTACAAAGTTAAAATTTATTTTTTGCATCCTTTATCTCTTATTCCCTTCTGTTTCATTAGGTAAAAAGAGAAGTTGTACAGCTCTGCTCACACTTATTAACTAACACTATTTAATAACAAGAGCAGACAAAGTATTTTCTTCCTGGTTAGCTACTTGAGGTAAATGATGGGTTCACCTGTTTCCTTTGTGATCATGACCAAAGGTAGAGCTCTGTAATGTGATTTAAAAAATGTATATATATCAGCACCTGGTACTTTAAGCTGTGATCTGTTTCAGCTGTTTCTAAAGGCTGACATGCAATTTATGATGTGACTGAAAGATATACTTGCAATTTACAGAGGCATTATTGATGGTGTATTTTCTAGTGAGTTGAAAAGAAATGTTGCTGTGTCTGACTGCTTTGCCTTAGTGTTGATAGAAAAGATGAACCTGGCACAGTACTAACATGTTACTCTCTGTAAAGCAACTTTAAATACATAAGAAGCTTGCTAGAAATGAAATAAACTACTTGGTACTAAAGGTAAAGAGGTAATTAAATACCTTGGTG